TTTTTTGCTCTGCTTTCTAGCCAAATCCCAATCTAAATCCCCAACAATTACCTTTCAATTTGTTAAGAACTGTGCTAAAGGCCATCCGAGTTATCCGAAAGCAGAAATCATTTGCTAAGCTTCTATTCATTTATTTATTTATTTTTCTGCACAATTCACTCTTCCGCCCGAGGGGGGAAATTCTTTTGTTTTGTGCCTGAACTTTGGTCCAAGAACAGTTCAAGAAACCCACTTTTGGGGAGACATCTGTGGGGCACAGAGACCGAGAATGAATTAAAACTGCTTTTAATTGTGAGAAAACCACTTTGGTGGGGATCGGTAGAGGGAGGGTGCTGGAAAATGGTGGAAGAAGGAACGGCAAAGAAGTCTTTTAAATTTAATGATAAATAAATTACACTAAATTATGGAAAATGTGAATAAAATTAAATGAACTTACGGGCATAAAAGATGTGACTTGAAACCATTAAATAAATACGCAACTGTTGCCAAATAAATACCGTTATACCAAATAAAATGTATGAATTTTTCATGTAGTCAGAGCCAAGCCTTAAAATGCATAGAAAAGTGCCTCAAACAAATGATTGAAACTATCTGAAAATATCTGAAGAATGTGCCTACAAAACTGAGAGACAAAAATACTCGAGTCTTCCCCAAAAAAAAATAAATAAACAGACAGCACAAAAAAATACTCATCAAAGTGACAAGCAAACCAGTGCCACGCCCCGATAAATCTACATATAAAGCCAAAATACAGCAAAAATTAAACAACAACAAGTAAATCATGAGTAGTCAACCTGCCAGCCAGCCCGATAGCATCGATCTAGCCTATGATATGTGGGCGGGCCAATTCGAGTTTGTCGGACCCACAGCGCACCACCCGCTGGCGAACAAGAGCCACAACAACAACAACAGCAGCAGCCTGAACAACAAGTGCCGGATCGGAGGAGCAGGACAGCCGAGCCGGAAGCTATCGACGGAGAGTCTGGAGGATTTGAATCTGAACTTCAATACGAGCTCCACGCAGAATCCGCTGAGCAACGCCTACAGCCTGGGCGGCGGCGTGGGGGACTACGAGTATTGCGGCTTCGGCAAGCATCCACCCATACTGATCGATCAGGAGACATTTCTGAGCCTCAATCCGGCCGATTTTGAGGATATAGTGCCATCGAATTCGGAGCCCAGCTCGTTGGTCTTCATCGAGAACAAGTTGGAGGCGAACAACAACAACAACAATAACAACAACAACAACAGCATCGAATCGAACAACAACCATATCAATAGCAGCCACAACAACAAAGTGTACAACTTGGAAACGTTGACAAGTAAATTCAATAACAAAACAAACAATACAAACACAAACGGATTCAAGCTGGAGAACATCAAGAATTTCAAAAACAAATTACTCTGTGATTTCGAGGATAGCAGCGCCGGTGGTGGTGGTGGTGGTGGTGGCGGTGGAGGCGCCCCCGGAGGATCTGGCAACAAAATGAACGGTGCACTCAGTGCCGAGATCTGCGACAATCTCAACGAGCAAGTAAGCAGTCCCCCTTCCCAACCATTATTTACCCTTGATACTGCTGGGGATTCGGTTAATTCCATCAAAAGTTCAGGGTTCACTCTACACGGTGGGTGGTAAGGGGGCCACCCACCTGGGGGTTCGCATGTCATGACAGATATACTAGACAGACTCGTGGCATGTCAATAATGCCCATTCGCTATAAATGCACTGCACTAGAGTGCAATTAGCTTCAGTCTAACTTTGCATTGCCTCGGCTCGACTGCTTTGTCCTTTAATCCGAAAAGGTGGAATTTCGAATACGATTGCTATGCTGGAAACAAATGATGTGAGTGCCATACCATTTTTATTGTAGAGTTTTGAGGGAGTTGCGAGTCAGCTGCAGCAGTTCTCTCACCAAACTGTGTGTGTTTATGGTTTCCTTGACATATTTACCTTTTTCAACGTCAAAACCTAGACAGAAATAACATTTCAAAGTCGAAGAAACTTTTCGGTGTGCCTGTCGTATATAATTTGCCAAACATCTGCTAACTATAAACAGAAATAAATTATATTTTTTGCTTCAAATGAGATCAGCATCATCAGTCAGTCAGTCACTAAGACCGACAGACAGACGGAGAAGAAAAGAAAAACAGACCACAAATTTCGAGAAATTAGTTGAAAAAAACGAAAATGAATGATGAAAAACTGTAACGAAATTGATGATTAGGAGCTTCTAGGGGGGGGGGGAAATGTGTCAACGAAAGTAAGAGAGAACTAAGCCCAAATGAGTGGAGCCCTTGGGTGCCGAGAAAGCAGCTCTTGGAGCGTTAATTTCCAAGACGATTGCTCTAGTTACGGACTCCAAATTAAAGGCGGAATAGAAACCAGAATCCCCCCTTTCCTCCATAAAGCATCCCACTGTGAACGAGAGCCCAGAGATGCGGAATATCTTTCCACACTTGCTGGAGGTCAGTGCTTCAGCGATAGCCTCCAGCGGATGCCCTGCCCGATTTGTTTACCATATCGTTTGATAAACGTAGCAAATGCAGGGCGGAGGAAATGGAAATCCAGTGTGTGCTGCAATCGAGCATCGCTTTTGGGGTCAAAGCTAATGCTGATTATAAGGCCCGAATGCTTCAAGATTTTCGAATTGTTTTCCATTCTGCTATTTATGACCCGTTTAATGCGCGAGTAACGGAAGCCGTTTGGGGCTCGCTGGATAAAGTCATAATTGTAGAGAATTTTTTGGTGATTAGAAAATAAAGATGTGGTTCTTGGGTCACAGTAAGGGGACACATCTCGTCACATGATGTCTCTGGGAAATTATTCCCCTCGAGAATTAATACAGGGTGCTCTGTTCTAATTTTGGGGCCCAACAGCTGTTGCGCATTTCCGCACTTGCCGCCGAAAAACTTCCCATCAGTCAGCGGGCACCTGTCAGGCCTTCAACTTGTCAAAGCGAAAACTGGAAAAATCAAAGGCCAGGCAGCGGCACTCTGACCCTGGAACACCTTTCAACTGCCACGCTGTACGCTGTCCGCCGAGGAAAGACGGAAAGTGACAAGAAAAATTAAAGCCCATTTAGAGAAGCCGTTTCGTTGCCCCCCTTCTTAGGCCGATTCCAGCTCCTTGGGAGCTGGCATGTCATCGTCATCGTCATCGCCATCGCCATCGCCGTCGTCGTCTTCGTCACTTGTTACTCAATTTGTCTTACAGTTTTATAGTTTTCTCTTTATGCTCCAACAACAGCCTTTTTTTTATTTTTATAGCTTCTGTACTTGGCTCCCTTCATACCCTGTACTTGGAGGGTATATCCTCTCGACGTAGAGTTCGAGTTCCAAAGTCCGAAATCCAAAGGAAATATTTATGGATCAAATATTGGTTTTCTTAGCACAGGGTATCACATGGTAGTTCTCTGGCCCTCCTCCCTTTGTTTACGTTCTGAAGAACGGTTTCTGAATGAGAAGCGACTTCTGTTTATGCCGCCGCCGCTGCCGATGCTTCTTCTTCTTTCACTATTTTTTTCGGAGGAATTTTGTAGACATTTAAATTAAATTCTAGTTTCTTGCTGTTTCTATATATCACTACTTATATTTTCTTCTCTTTTTTTTTGTGTTTTGGCATGGTTCATTGTACACATAGTACACAGGGGCCCCCGAATCGAGAACCCCGCCATATCGCACACTGTGAAAGTTGACTCAGCGACTCTCTCGCATTCTCTATTTCTCTCTGGATCGGAAACGTTCTGTTGGTTGTTTTTGGGAGGTTGCTGCCTCTATTCAGTTGCTGCCGCGCCGCGTTTGACGTCGATTGTGTTCGTGTGGACGTTCGTTGATATAGAGTATAGAGTATAGAGTATAGAGTATAGTGTACCCAGCCCTGCCCTGCACTGCTCTCCCTATACTACGTATATGGTTACTGTATATATTCTGTAAATCCAGCAAAACATTGTGGCCCGCAAATTGCATTTAATTAAGCCTAATTGAACCTCAGGCCAGACAGTTTGGCAGCCCCCCGCAAAAATGTCGTTCGCCAATTGAACTTCTCAATTGACATTTTCCAGAGCATTAGAACATGGGGGAACATGGGGGGGGACGCCCTATGGGTGCTTTAATAAATGAGCTCCCTTAGTGGGCAGTTCTTCGTAAGTGGTTTCAGGCACCCTGTTTCCATTGGCTCTTATCAGACACTCACAACATCCTGTATGGCCCCTGCATTCATCTGGCACATTTCCTATCGCTGTGCAACATTTTACAGTGTGGGTAGATCATGAGTAAGCCTACAAAGTGCAAATAAAAACACGTATCGATGAACACAGATTTTTGCACATTCCCGCGATTGTTGCTTGTGTGGCCAAAAGCCAATAGCCAAATGCAAAACGCCAACGAGAGGCACTTGCCGCCTTCTGCTCAAGTGTCTGGCTGCCCATGAGGCGTATGCGCAATATTTATGAGATACACATGTGATATTCATATGGGCAAGGCATGCGATATATGCGAGTAGCACTAGCCAACAAAAGTTTCTGTCTGGAAACATTGAGTAGTGAACTCCATAATCAGCAGCTTCTTTTCCGCTGTTCAATAGTGTAATTAACATTGTCGTTGTCGTTGTAGTTGTCGCTGTGGTTGTCGCTGGCTTGGTATTTTTTAAGAAATTAAACGAGCCGCCCGCCGGCCACAGTCGCAGTCTGCATCGGCCATCAACTGAGCAAAGACGACGCGAAAACAGAGCAAACATTTAAAATCCATTTTGATTTCCATTTCCATAAAGAAGAGAGCAGGGCAGTGTGCATTCTTGAACAATAATGTAAAGACAGAAAACAAAAGAAAACATATAGTCGGCAAATGTATTTGAAATATCCCATGGCTGATGTGCAGTTGGTGAACGATCTGCTCCTCGATCTGCGGCACATGAGAAACGATTGTGTTAGTGGAGACACGAACCAAACCGCACAAAGAACTGTCCACTCATATCGACTCTCTCTCTCTCTCTATCTTTCCAGCTGGAGCTGCTGCAGCGCAAGGTTGATGATCTGTCGGATACACAGAATATAGCCGAGGATCGAACGACACGAACCAAGACCGAATATGCAGTGCTCCAGGCGCGATATCACATGCTGGAAGAGCAGTTCCGAGAGGTGAGTAAACCGCATCGCATAGTTTTGAAAGCATTGTGCTAAACTAAATTGTTCGCCAGTCGGAGCTGCGCGCCGAGGAACGCCTGGCCGAGGAGCAGAAGCGCCACCGCGAGATCCTGGCCCGCGTGGAGCGCGAAGCCTCGCTGCAGAACGAGAACTGCCAGATGAAAATCAGAGCCACCGAGATCGAGGCCAACGCCCTGCGCGACGAGGCGCAGCGCCTGCGTGTGCAGTGCGATAAGCAGGCCAACGATTTGCATCGCACGGAGGAGCAGCTGGAGCTGGCACGCGATCAGATCGCCGCCCTCCAGCAGGAGTACGAAGAGCAGCAGCAGACACTGCGCAAGCAGGAGATGGAGAAGAAGTCCGCGGAGGAGCTGATGCTGGAGCTGAGCGGGGAGCTGCAGCGGGCGCGGGAGGAGAACGGGGCGAGGGCCATGCCCACCACATCGCCGGAGAGCATAAGACTGGAGGAGCTGCACCAAGAGCTCGAGGAGATGCGCCAAAAGAATCGATGTGAGTGCTCGAAATGGTATCCTCCCGATCAATGCCCTAACATCATACATTCCTATCTTCCCGTAGCACTCGAAGAGCAGAACGAGGAGCTGCAGGCCACCATGCTCACCAACCAGGTCACCATGCTGAGCACCGGTGTGGAGCAGGGCCGCCATCTGCTCAACGGTACACTGGGCAGCCTGGCCCAGGAGCTGGAGGAGATGTCACAAGCGCAGGTGTGTATCCAGAACCCTGGAAACTGTGAACCCGTGAACCCCCCGACCCCGTGAGATGCCTCACACTTCAGCTTTTAGTCTTTGCTGCGTTGTCCACACCCAATCCACCACCCACAATCCACAATCCAATCCATACCCACACACAAACACACAATTAAAGTCACCAGCCAAGCCTGAGCACACGCACAGTCACCGCGAAGAGAATACGTACCGTTTGAGTGTCCGCATTGCGTCCTCTCATATATACTTGCATCTCGTACTCGTACTGTCTATATCTGTATTTATATTGAAATTTATTGTATTACAGGAGTCTGTGGATTCAGCCACATTAGCATCCTTAAGTCAGGTAATGCTTCACGCCACAATTAAACCCAAAATCAAACACGGTTTCGGAGCCACTGTGCACGCCTTGCAGTTGTTGAACTTTTACCATTCTTTTGACCTTATCTAAAACTTAATCTGAGGGTTCATTGGTCTCTAATCATTTCTCAAAAAGCATTTTGACGTGGTCTCTAACTTCATTTCTTGTTGTACATTTCTAATGGAAACTCTACTTTTGTGTTCCCAAAACTTTTCTTTGACGTGAGAACTAATCGAACATTTTGTGTTACAGCTGCAACAGGCCTTCCAGGAAAAGGATGACGAGAATGTCCGGCTCAAGCACTATATTGATACCATACTACTCAACATTGTGGAGAACTATCCCCAGCTACTGGAAGTCAAGCCCATGGAGCGCAAGTAAAGCCGAATACGAAATAGAACCAGAAGCTGCAACGTAACCAGAACAAGAACCACAACCAGAAGACACTGGCGGCCGTGTCGCAACCACCTAACAATAAACACCAACTAAAATGAACAACTAAACTAAATAAAACAAAATTGTACTTTACGTTCATATTTTAAGCTCTAATCTATTTAGATATTTATACCTAACTTAAGACACTAATTTATTTTGTAACAATTTATTGTAGACTAGATTTTTAAACCAAAACAACACAGTAGCATCTTCCTTAAAAGGAATACCATTAGGAGGAACAAAAACTGTATCCCTGAAAGCAAAAATCCTTAAATTGTTAATATGCATGGAAATTTGTGTTGTTTTTTTTTTTTTTTTTTTTTTTTACACGCGTATTATAGGCGTAAAACAAGTCAGAAAAAGTTTTGTGGAAGTTTCTTTGTTAGTTTCTATGTGTGTATTTTCAGGATATTAAGATATTAACTATAAATAATATTAGCCCATAAGAATTGATAATCGTTTCTCCTTACAAATGGAACCGAAACCCAATAAGCTGTTGATCCAATGACAAGTTACGATAATTGCTTAAAATGTTTGTTTGAGGGCTGGCTGTGTATAGCGCGAGATGAGAAACTTTATTGAAATGTTAACGTTTGAAACGAGCTATTTTCCAATTTTCGTTGACACGGGGGTAGCTGTGAAAGCCTGCACGGGAACTGCTTTTCAGTTTAATCAATATTTTCATTACCTATGTAACCTACTCTCTCTTTCATCCTTAATCTACATATAACTTGCTTATATTCCCACTATGTCCTTCTCGCTGGCTATCCCCAAAGTATGTAGTTGCAGAAATCTATCAAAAAATTTGCGTTTATGGTATGGACAATCCCAGGATATGAGACGGAGTTTTAGTTTGAGAAGAAGCAATTATCATTAGAAAGAAAGATATCATAGCCCAGAACCATATGTCAATGTATAGCACAGTAACAACTTACAGATGCCCCCAGATGGCCACATGGCCAGGGGATTCACATTCATTCTACTCGTACATACATAGATCAAATAATACGTAATACTTACTCTGCATATTGTTTATAACCCAATTAAATGGACGCAATGTGCAAACATTTAGGGATCGGTCGTGAGCCCAGATGCTCTCAATAAATACGATCCCTAATAGACTAGAACAACTCAAGTGGTCAACCCTATAGGAACTAATAATATATCAATACAACTGAAGCAATTATGATATAATACGTAAATCAAAATTAGATTGCCTTAAATGAAATCGTTTAAAGTGTTTAGGCCTTAGATAACTCTTTGAAAAAACAGTCCATTGATTAATGATACCATACTAATACCATGGATTTTTAAAATGTAATTTACCAGATGCAAGTCGAAGAACTTTATCGGAATAAAGAGTAATATTTTATAAAGAGAAGCAAAAAATCGTGCCTTGCCCTAAAACCGAGTCGATGCAAATTAGGCAAACCCGTTCAAAGACAATAAACATAAATGTAAAATTTATTAAGGAAACCCGAACTGTGGAACAGGTTCTGAAGGAGGGCTTACGTAACAGTTGGAGGTGTTATATAAACTGTGCCCCGACTCCCCGAAAGGACAGAGAAGACCCTGCTGTTGACGATTAAAGATGTTCAAGATTGTTCCTTTGGCCGCAGGTGGGAACTGGTATATACTCATATGATCCGATCCTTAATTATCGAATCTTCTTCTCTTTTTAGTGCTGCTGTGCTTCGCTACAGCGCAGGTTGTGCCAAATGCAGAGATCGGTCGGGTTACCATCCAAGTGCCGTTGTTGTCTAATGGAAAGCCCGTCATTCTGGGCAGCCACGAAGGTGTTGAGGTGGCCCACGTAGAGGAGATCAAGCCGGGAAAGATCCAGGTGCTCAATGAGGTGCCTCCAACGCTCAGCAAAGTTCGGAGTGCGAGATCCATTGTAGATCATTCCAACGTAGGAATCCCAAATCCTGGCATTCCCAACGAAGGAATCCCAAATCCTGGTATCCCCAATAGGGGAATACCAAATCCTGGCATTCCCAACGAAGGAATCCCAAATCCTGGCATCCCCAATGTAGGAATACCGAATCCTGGCATTCCCAACGAAGGAATCCCAAATCCTGGCATCCCCAATGTAGGAATACCGAATCCTGGCATTCCCAACGAAGGAATCCCAAATCCTGGCATCCCTAATGTAGGAATACCGAATCCTGGCATTCCCAACGAAGGAATCCCAAATCGTGGCATCCCTAATGTAGGAATACCGAATCCTGGCATTCCCAACGAAGGAATCCCAAATCGTGGCATCCCTAATGTAGGAATACCGAATCCTGGCATCCCCAATGTAGGAATACCGAATCCTGGCATTCCCAACCATGGCATCCCAATTCCCGATGCTTCTGTGATCCAACCTGTTGCGGTAATGCCAACCCACCGCACCACCACCAGCCCCACGATGACCACTACTACAGTACTGCCGAAGCGTGTCCCGTCCAAGAATTGCCATCACCTGCTCTTGGCTGGGATGACCACCGTCTCACCCTTGGAAATGATGGCCACTCCGCCGGCAGAGAACTGCGACGAGCTGTGCACCAAGCACGAATACATGCCCGTCTGCGCCCACAACGGTGTGTGTGTCCACGAGTTTGCCAATCAGTGTGTAATGGACACTTTCAACTGTAAGCATCGGGATCTGTCCTTCCGCAGCGTGGATGAGGATGTTTGCAGGTTGGAATTGTGCGCCAGGCGATGCAAGGAGGAGGATTTAATGCTCTAGGCCTATGACAACATACCCACTTATTCCGTATTCTCTAAGTCCATATATCCGTCGAACATAAAACAAAAATAATGAAAATGTAAACCAATCTCTTGAATTCACTGCATGCATGGGAGAGAAAGAGAGAGAGAGAGAGATGTCCCAAGTGCCAACATACTAAAGATTTGTATTCCAACAAGACATTGCGCTTTATCAATTCTTAGTTGTAACGGACAAAATATCCTTGTAATTTTATTTCCTATTAGTCCCAGATTAGTCTTAGCTTCCTAATAGCCATCAAGTGCATTTCTTCACTCTAGGTATTTCCGTGCAGCCATAGGATCAATTGGTCCACGAAAAAGTCCCATCAAAGTCCCATAATTGTTAGGATAAACCTTTAAGAATACCAAAAGCCTCTCCCCCGAAACTAGATTTCTGTTTCTGTCTGGATAAATATTAATTTTCGTTTTGATCAGCTGACTGTTGCAATGCCGCCAGAAATATAAATATTAATGTCGAGAAAATAATCGAAAAAATATATGGCAAACTAGTGGGGAAGACCCCTGCTCACTCGCTTCACTAGTGCGAAATTTAACTTCTTTGATTTTCTTGGAGTTTAGTCAATCCCAGAGGGGAAGGAATATCTTATTTATAAGTGACTTTATAATTCCCCACAGAACACTCCGTTTCGTGTTTAGTTTCATGTATTATTTATTCCTTGAATGCTACAATCTCATATCCAAAACCGTTTCTACAATCCAAACTCTCTGAGATCCGACTCCAGGCACCTGGGCTCCCAGTCCTTCGTGCAGCGGTGATCTTCCACAATGCTGAAGTGCTTCTGGGGATTGCGGCAGTTGTAGGCGGCCATGCTGCAGCGGCTCTCAAACTTTAGCAGGCACTGTCCGTTGGTGGCGCAGACGGAAGGATCCCTCTCCGTGCAGTGATAGTGGCACTTGTCGTCTTCCACCTGATCCCTATACACCCGTTGTCCATGCTGATCAATGCTGATATTCTTGGCCAGGGCACAGCCGGCAATGAAAACTGAAAAAAAAACACAGTGTCAGTGGGCGAGAGTGGGAGCGTGGCGAAGGGAGAGAAGCTTACGCAGAAAAACCAGCGACAGGATATTCATCTTTGAGCTTTGGTTTGTTGGTTGTCTTTGTTGTTGTTCACGTTCACCTTGCTGTGTGTGTGCAGCAACTGTAAAACTGTGAATTCTGCCGTCCCCTGTCATTGGTTTTATACCAAAAGCGAATTTCAGCTGACAAAAGCTTTGGGTTTCTGCTGTCTGTCCCACTGTCCCTGCCCGTCCTTCCTGCTTCCCTGCATAATCCTTTATTTTAACACCTGCCAGAGATATAAAATTGCATCATCATCAACGGCATCAACGGCTTTGCCTGGCATTTTCGGATTTTTTCTGGCTTGTAATTAAATGTTCTCCCGTCTGGTTAAAAATAAGACCGTGAGATGCCAAATTTGCATATTTTTGTCAGCGCTTCAATTTGATGTGGTTCCATTGTTTTGAGGGAAGCTCTGGAAAATCCCGTTGTTTTGCCAAGGGGCGCTATGTTTTTTCTGCATATTTCCATTCAGCTGTGGCCTTGGAATCTATCCTTGGGTCTACCTTGGGACTATCTTATGTGCATATGAAAGTGCTGTCACCAATACAATGCTTCGATTTGCCTGCTGTCTACGCATGTATGAGAGCCGGGGACTGCTTGGAGGTGAAGTCGGTTAATTTTCAATGAGATTACTTTTAGATTTTATTGGATTTTTAATAAAACTTCTTAGAAGAACCGTAAGATGTCATTAATTTTCTAAAATCATTCAACCTTTAACCAATTAACCCCTCTCGTAGAGCTATAACTATTATTACTATTTAGAGGGAAGTGCGGGGTGCTCTTTGGGAGGCATACTATGTACATATATCATGGATATAATATTCCTGGATATTCTTAGTTTTCTTAATATAAATATTTACTGGCAAACATCATATTCCATAAGGAAGTGATTAAAGCAATATGAGCGATATATGTACCAGCTGGGAGGTAGGTCTCTCCAGACGAGGTCTCAGCTCAGTGTTCCGTTCAAGCGAGACCAGAAAACCTGTTTACCGACAGAATTGGAATAAAATCCATAAATGATATGATCACATGTTAATATCAAATCGTGGCAGACAAGCTGATGTTAAGGGATCGGAAAAAAAACTTTATAAAGTGGGAACATTCGGGAATGCAGTCACAGAACGCCTTCGAACGCCTTCGAACGCCAATGCAAAGGATTGTAGCTCTGAAACAAGCCAATTTGAGCCAAAAAGGGAATTTTGCAAACAAAATGAGAGTGTTTTTGGTGCTTGGTAAGTCAGGGCTATTCCAAATGAGAAATCCCACTACAATGCAGGACTTTTCCAGCTATCCTGTCCCTGGCACAGGCTGCAGAGGTGCCGCAGACCACAGAGGCGACCACAACGACAGGGAAACCGAAACCCCAGCAGATGGAGCTCCCCGAGCACATACAGACACTGATAACCAATCACATCCATCAAGTGCTCCAGCACGTGAAGCAGAATGCTCAGAAGCCCCCTCACACATTGACTGGCACTGTGGAGGCGGGCAAAGGGATTGGGAGTGGGAGTGGGAGTGGGTCGCCAGTGGTTGAGCCCTTTTCAGGTCTCCTTCCACCACTTGCACACCCTGGTGATGTCCATCTCCCTGCCGTTGACCAGCCAGCGGCTTCACCTGCGCTGCAACCTGGCCTACAGTCGCTGCAAGCTAATGATCCACAGGTGAGGGTGATAAATCACCAGGCCACCGGCTCACTACTCCACCAGGGGCGCCCGGTGGTGCAGAACAAGGTGGTGATGCCCCCGGTGCCACATGTGGTGCTCTCCCTGCCCGGCCAGCAGTCCGTCGATGTTGCGGACAAGGTGAACAAGCTGCAGCAGCATGTCAGCCAGGTGATGCAACAGGCCCAGCTCCACATTCCTCTGGCCATTCAAGAGGCGATCAAGAGGAAGAAGGAACAGCAGAAGCAGCAGGAACAGACCACACAGCAGCCGAAGGATCAGAACAAGGAACAACAAAAGGAAGAAGGGGAACAACAGGAGAACGAAGATCCAACGACGCCCCAGCTGGACTCCTCATCAACACCAGTCTCAGCAAAAACCAAAACAGGTCGCTCCCTGGACACGTGGCCCCACCACGCCAACCAGGTGCACATCCCCCAGTTGATTGCCGAACATCAAGAGGAGATCGACCGGGGCAAATGCAGCTTCAAGTGTCCACGCCAGGCCCTGTCCATCTGCGCCAGCAATGGCAAGTGCGTTGTCAACTTTCCCGGCCAATGCGAGCTGAGTCAATGGAACTGCTTCAATACCAAAAATGGTAAGCTCTCCGCAGTCCATTAACAGAGTTCCATTACCATGTCTGAGCCCCTTCTGTTTTTGCTTCTCCATCCTTAGTTTTCCATCAAGTGCACGATGCCGAGTGCCAGAATACCATCAAGTGCTATAAGCGTGATATGATGTAGAGGTTACAGGATGACAGATACCCCCCCCCCCCCCCTAGACCATGGAAAAGTCGCAGCTGAAGGGAATGTATCATACTTTTTTTTATACTGCAAATATCTTACAATTTAATAAAGAACTATTTCTGTAATATTAGATTCCAATTCCGAAACCATAACATTGTTGGCAATCTTTGAAAATGTTCATTCCGAAATGAGATACAATTTGAAAGATTTTCTGTCTGTTCTTGCCGTTAAGTATTATGTCCCACACCAAACAGTCCCCCAGCTCCAGTCCCAGTCCCAGTCCCATTCCCAAGCCAATCCCTGTCACTTGTGATGTTGTTTTCTTGATATTCTATCTTCACTTTCGCCACACTTTCGCAAGTGCAGACGCCTTTCTCTCCCACTCCAGACGGTGTCCCAACTGCTTCTGGCACCCGACAACGACGACGGGACTGAGGATGGGGACTTCGGAGACGACTACAATCATCCAATTTGTCAAAATGGCTTATTAACGGATTTCGGTTAGAGCCCCGCACAAGAACGCCAAGAGATGGCGCAAATAAATGTCATTATCATTGATTTGCCAATACAAATGCCACAAAACAGATATGGCCCTGGGATGGAGATTGGGCCAGGAGCTGAAGCTGGAGCAGACAGCTGTGCCACTTCGGCTAACAAACAAAGTTGGCTAACATTTTTGTGGCAGCTTATCAGAAAATGTTGCCGTATGCAGAGCGAGTACGAGTGCGAGTGCGAGAGACATGAAAAGACGTCGAGTTGGATCTCCAAATGGAACGGGGACCTCGTTCGGCTGTCAGCTCTGGCAGCGATAAACGCTTGAAATGTTCGCTGGAATTGCAATTGGATTTTTGGTCAATTAAAAAGCACTTTATGGTTTCTGCCGAGAGAGGGACAGAGATAGAGAGAGAGAGAGAGTTCAAGGTGAGTTTCAACTTTGAAAGAAAGATTTCTATCTTCTTCTCTGGGCATCGATTCCTTCTCTTTTTTTTTCTTTTACCATCCATGTAGCCATGTATCTACATGGGCATAGATCTTGCTTAGGTTCTCCTGTTGCCCCATCCACACATCCCATCCACAACTGTTAACTATTCTCTCTCTAGCATGCGGAATCTACGACATCTATTCGCCTTTTGGGGCCCATAAATTTTCCACTTTTCCATTCGCAATTCCCCGCCTGGGGATCCTCCTGATATCCCGCTCTGTCTCGGGTACTTCTCGGTGTTCTACAAATGTTTGACTTAGTTTCGCTCCATTTGGGTCCAATGCTGCTGCTGCTGCTGCTGCTGCTGCTGCTGCTGCTGCTGCTCCACTGTTGGGCCGCCTGCTGCGTGTCTGCCACGCATGCGCCATCGCCATCTCATACATCGTCTCTCTCTGTCTCCTCTCGCCTTATCCCTCCTCTAAGCGGTTCGTTCTGAGCCACAAAAAAAAGCTCCGTTAACTCTGCTGCCGCTTGCTTATCTCTGCCAAATGCTTTGGTTTGGCTTGGCCTGGCCACATTTACTTCTGCCAGACACTGGCAGAAATAACGCGCAAGTGGTCTCAACTGTTTTACACTTGAAACTGTCTGGCACTACCTCTGTATGAGTTTCCCCTCCGGGTTTTTCTCAGTGTGTGTAGGCTGGCTCTGGTTAATGCCAAATGCGTGAGCTGTGGGCCGTGCCGCATTTTGATGGCTCGGATGGCTTCTGCTGGCTGGTCGGAGGCTTCTTGGGTTAGCAGCAGAGTGGCAGAGCAGCAGAGTAGAGCCACCAGGCTCTGAACAGCGGAAATGCAATTAACACTTTGGGCCGTAATTGCGTGCCAAATGCATTTCGCTTGCTCTGTGGCCAGTCCACAGCATTGGTGATGGTCCAGGCTGGAGCAGAGCAGCCAGCAGAGTGTGAGTGCGAGAGCGAGTGAGAGGGTAGAACAGGAATCTGGGGGCCTGCCCTGGTCCTAGTCTTGTTTTGATTTGCCTGGCTCATTTGCAAGAAATGTGGCCATAAATCAATTTGGGAATGCTCGTCGACTACTGTCCGCTCAAGGGAGCGCTTCTCTCTGCCTCAGCTCCATGTGGGTCTTTGTGGAGGCGGATGTTCTGGATGATGCAAGTATTTCAAAGGGTCAGTTCCACAGGGAACTTCCTGTCCATATCTCTGACCTCTGAAAAGAAGATAAAATGAAATGCCACCATTAGAATATGTTTTTTTATTTGCAATGGTTTTGCGTTTTTTGATAAACCATCTTTATCGCCTTTTCGAATTGGGTTTCGATTCTCTCAGGAAGTGACTTCCTCCATCGTTTTATTTCCCCTCAATTTCATCTTCCTTGACCCATAAATTCTCGCTCCTTAACTGCTTTATCCCTGGCCAATTAGCCGTGATTTCCATACAAATGGATAGCAATTTGGTAGCCAGATCCGGAGAGAACATTTCCCGCTTATGGCCGGTCAAAACCTTCAGCATTAAACGCTGTGTTTAACTTTTCATTTAACTGAAATTAATTGAGTAATTTGATGCGAAATGTTTGCGACACGCACTGCAAAGGGAAAAGGAAGAAGAAGAAAAACAACAATTCTACAAACAAGATTGAGAGCGGAAAATGCTGGGCGAGGGGGCA